TACAAATTAAGGTCCGACGTGCCTCGAGAGCATCCTTGATGCTCCTGAAGGGCGTCCAGTAAAATGTGTACAGATGCATATGATGCTCCTGCTGCTCCTGTGTTCAATGGCAGAGAGCGGCTTTGCTATATTTGCTGTTATAAGTGGGTAAAAAGTAGCTTTAATATCTTTTCAAGTTGCAGTCTTCTGTGAAGTCAGAAGATTAGGATCCTGAATTCAAATATTATTTCGCTGTCAGATCAGTGCTAAACCCCCATACACCGGCGGTGCGCTGTCACTGGAAATCCTCTTCAACAGTCTGGTCGCCTCTTTGGGGTTTTCTGCTATTGTTTGTGGCGACTGGAAGGAGATGTTAGCGGTTTTCTTTTAGGAAAACCAAACGGCAGGCACTGGAATAAAAAGGCAGGTGTGCACGACCTTTTGATGTTTCTTGATGCGGTTCAACCATTTACTTTGCATGTAAACCAGCTGCTTCTGCTGCTTCGATAGCATGCCGGCTGAACGTAGCATTAGGTGTGAAAGGAAGCTGCATAGGAAAAAAACTTTACTAAAATTCTGCTTGAGAACCCTTTGAGGAGGAGTCTAAATATAAATAGCTTTGATATGGGTCTCACCGGGTCCATATTACAATGAATAAATAAGTGAGAACTCACACAAGTTGGTTTAGGTAAGCATTGCATTTCAAGTTTTAACAGCTGGAAATGGTAGCAAATAACCACATGGTTAAAATTATGGAAGCTTTTCTGCAGTTACAGTATACAATTTTAAGTGTTTTGATAGATAGGTTACAGCTAATGATTTCAAAATATCCTTGTTTATTTAGAATTTTAGCAACCACAAAATGAACAACTTATTCAAAGTAAGAAAAACAGTAAAAAAAAAAACTATAAACATCTAAATAAGCTAATGCTACTAAAATAATTTGGCAAAATTCCACTCTAACAAAAAAGTGCCCACTGGAGATACCTGCAACGAGTGCATCTTTTGGCCAGTGACTAAACCAGTCCATGGTGCAGCCAGATATCAGTGCTGGAAACTTCAACGCCCGGTTGCGGAACTTCTCCCCAACAGGAGAAAAGCATAGAACAACATGGAGATTGTGTCGGACCCGTGACATGAAGTACTCATACAGGTTTTCATTGGTCGGTGGTCGCTTTGGAAACTCTCGTCGCATAACAGGTAAGAGATCACTGAGGATCTCATCTATCTCGTCACGAGGAAACAAATTGGACACCTAAAGACAGAAATTACACCTGTTTTACAAAAATTGGATTAACACAAGTTCTTAACATAGTTGTATCTCACTTCCAGTGACTTAAAAGTGATAGGTTTAGTTTTTCTTGTTTTTTTCATTAAAACTGTAATTTACTTAATTAGAATTCACCTAAAAGATGAAATTGATCTTAAACTCTGAATTTAGAACTTTAATATACTAGCAGAGAAAAATTGCATTATGGCTGAAATAGAGATGCATTTATATTGTCAAAGTAACTTAGAAAAGCTACAAAAAAAACCAACAATGCTTGAAAATAACATTTTTAAGCATTGTATTTAAATTTTTTCCAGTCAAGACAGATGTCATGATATGTATAGACTGGCGATCGTCTTGTGAGCACAAAGCAATGCTGCTGTAAGGAGGGGCCTTTGTCTAACTGACCTTCTTGATCACTCACACAAAAAAAACATATCTTTCCATTTTGTTCCTTATCTCTCCAGAAAAATGCAGCACAGCCTATTCTCTTCAAAACACAAACCTGATATTCATAGCAACCAGTGACCTGATCAGTTAAACCATATTGTGCTAAAATTGGAAAAGAGAATGGATCACTGTGTGAACACAGAGAGGAAGACTGACCAGCTTAACTCCGAAAAACTTATAAAAAGATCAAAATTAAGATGAACAATCTGAAAACAACAAGAAATGTAATGTGAAAGTATTCAAAACTATTAGAAAAAGGATGAGAAGAGGGGGAAAAAAAATGAATTTCTTGTTTATGTTTCCCACCTCTCCAGATGACAAGACATTGTTCATGTACTCCAAGAAGGATTCATCCTTGATTTCATTGTGAGTGAAGATGAAGCTGACACCTTTTCCCTGCAGACCTGCTGTTTTGTACAACATTTTCAGGTCCTCCATTAAGTTAGTGGTGTTATATGAGCTGCAAAAAATAAAACAGATATTCTCAGAAAAAGAAATCAGTTTTCTAAATGCTTAAAAAGGGTTTGTTGACAGTCCAGATTAGAGTTGTGTGCATGTATCTTGTCTGAGCTAAAGCAAGTAAAGTAATCCACATGGGATGACTATTTGCTCCACTCCGATCTGGTGTTCTGTCAGTTCAGCATACTGTGTCAGGCTGGCATAACCTTAGTAATATAAAATACATAGAGTTTCCTCTGTCTCCGCACTCCTTACTTCCAAGCATGCTGTTTTATTTTGCAATTTAGTCAGGTTTTTTGTCGTAGCTTGTGCATAAAACAACAGCAAAAAAAACATTCACTGTTCGTTACACACATTAGGTTTAAAAACAAACATTGCATGTCGGTTAGATGAGGATCTTATTTAAGAATGATCTGCATTTTTTCACAGAGAATTAAATAATTACAGGGAAAGGATTCTACAACCAAGTTGACAGGATAGGAGATTTATTTGTTTTTAGTTTTTTTAATATGAGTGACTTGCGGATCATTTTATTTCTATTTATTTATTTTTTACAGCATATGAAGAACTACTGAAATTATTTTCAGATTACACATAAATAGATGAATAAATTCTGCATGCGGAAAGGAATGACTTTAGGGTTAGGATTCACTCGGTGATAACAACCTACTGAGGCTACTGGCACAATCTGAAGCCATTCTATGGGACTGATAACCACAGAGGAAACTCTATGTAATGCGTATTACTAAGGGTATGCTGGCCTGATGCGATATGCTGAGCTGACAGAACACCCGACCGGAGCGGAGCAAATAGTTATCACACGTGGATTACTTTCTTGTGATTGGCTTATACAACGGAGCTCTATGATTGGTTTCAAACCATCCCCTGTATAAAAAAATGCATTTCTGTATTTCCTCACTGCAGTGAGTAGAGGAAACATTTATGCACTAATCACAGCAAGCAGTGATTAGAGAGGGGGTGACACTTTTTTATGATTGAATTTTAAAGAGGAAAAGGCAAATACATGCATGCGAGCCAACAGGATTAGGTTTTAACTGTTAGCTTTCTGAAATAGTGATCAAGAAGAGAGTTTGTTTTTATTAAAACTCACTGGTAGAGAAAATAAGACATCTACATCTACAAGACAAGCACACACATCTACATACTCTCTTTCTTTTTAAACCAGCATCATGTAAAAATAATGAAAATAATTTCCAGATTATTTATTATAACAATTTTACCATTTAAATAAAAAGTCTTATAGTAAATCTCTAAATTTTAAAAATTTAATGATATTTGATATACAAATAAAGGGTTGAATGTGTATGAGTCGTTTGTGTGAGGGATAACTGAGTAAGTATAGAAAAGACAAATGAAGGAAACATGCAGCTGACGTGCTTGTTTCCCTTGGAGGTGCTTTGGCGAGCAAAGAGGAGAAATTAAAAAAGCAGGCTCATTCATATTAATAGCAACCACCAAAGTGAGTTAGAGACTTGGCCAATGGGAAATATGGTGACCATAAGTGCTCACAGAGAACAAGAGGGAGGCCTTTGACAGCCTTGTACAGTAACAAGGAGCGGCTGTGCTCCTTGTTACTGTACAGGGTGTGTTTCTAAAACAAATGAACAAAAAAAAAAGAAAGAGACAAAAAACAAAACTAGTTAGTAAATGAACATGGAAGGTAAATGAGCTCCAAAAACAGCTGGAGAAACATGGAAGCTGAAACAATCTGTAATAAATAACATGGTTTAGGTTCTTTTTAATCCTGATTCTAACAACCCTTAATTCACTCTGCTACTTTAGAGAAACAGCTCTTTCTTTCTTTCTTTAGAAAAACAGCGATTTCTGGACATAGATCTTTGAAATGAATATCAAAATTATAACAAATAGTGTGGGCATTACCGAGTCAGAGTTATCTGGAAGGTTTGGTATCCAGCTATGAATGAGGCCAACCTGGTCAGGCTCTGTTTGCCAGAGCCTCCAACACCCACTAATAAGGCATTACCTCCTGGTGTCCGAATTATTCTAGAGACCTGAAAAAGTGCATGTTAACAATGAAAAGAATGAATACATAAACAACTACTTCATATTTCAAATATTTCGTCATATTTCAAACTTTAAAATAGTATTTTAATTCCTTCCAGTAACTTATAAACAGTCAAATACATTCTACAGATTAGTTACACCATGGCTGTTTTTAAGCCTTTCGATAAATTGTTACCATTCTCAGTCTAGATCACACAAAAATATGCCATTTGGTTTCTTGATAAGAATCACACAAATTTAAAAAAAAGTGGCTTATGCCACTTGTCAAGTGGCATGTCATTTGGACAAAAGTTAACAAAGTTACATCAAACAGTAGATCAGAGCCTTACACAGCATTTACTTTTAAATTGGCATCTGGGAAAAAAAGAAAACCTAACTTTGGATAGGAAGTGTAGTGCATGTTAGAACTGCACTAGAAGTTCAAGAGACATAAAAAGTAAACACTGTCAGGTTTACATGTTAGTTCAATTACAGTTCACTAAGGCAGTGTAATTTACTGTATATTTCATATTTTTCAATTAATCTTGATTAACCATAACCAGCTATAAAGAAATTGACATTATAATTAATTTAAGCTTTTCAATTAATATGTGCTGAAAAACTTGGAGGACACCAGCTCCCTCAAAGTGAAAGTCTAAAAATATGTGAACATGACCATCCCATTACTAAATAGTGTCCCCAAGATCTGTGTTCTTCTTTGTTTTCAATTTAGGCTGGAATTTTATAATGACAAATAATTACATGATCTACATCTTTTATGCAGAGTAAATGTTGCAGTGTTAAAGTAACATTAAAGAGTACATTTGGTCCCACTCTGAACTAGTGTGGGACCAAATGTACTCACAAAGTGTTACTTTAACACTGTAACATTTACTATGTATTGTCACCACATGAAAAAAAGTCTTTAAAATACCTTGATCAGATGAATCATTGCATCTTGAAAGAAGACCATGTCCATGCCAGCCCCTCTTATGTTTTCATTGTAAAGATAGAGGAACATGTTCAGACGCTCTTTTAAATTCTCAAATGATTCAATAGGCTCATAGACCTTGGGTGAATCAAAATCTTTATCTTCTGGTTCTTCTCCTGTGAGAAAAGTAGTTACACAAAACAATGTTTACATTTCAAACAGAAAATCTAAAATTAGAAAAATGGCTTCCATTTTCTGCTTCATGGGTACCTGTAGCTTCTGGGGCATCTCTTATGAAGTCAACAAAATATCTGTCTACTCCAAAATCCACCATTTTCCTGGCTTTATCCCCAAGCTCATCTCCCACAAGCTTTGCGAGAGTTTGATCAAACCATTCCACATCATCAGGCATGGTGAATCTATCAGCTATTACACGTTTGCACTCATGCTTCCACAGTGCCAGCAATACCTGGGAAGTTATTGTTTTCAATGAAAACAAAAGGGTTTGCAAAGGTTACTTAAACAAACTAAAAACAATAAAACAGGAGAACGAGAGAGATTTAAAAAAATAGATATTTAATTAATCAATTTGAATACAAGTGCAACAACAAATTGTTTTGCTGACTGAATGTGATAAGATTTGCATAAGCTCTTAGCTTGGCTGGGAGCCACAACACGGATGTAGGACAGTCTCAGCTAAAGTAGAACTTTGACTATATTCAATTATTCAGTAAGGCCACAGAGTAATGCAGAGTGGGCCACTTCAGCAAGAAACAAATTTTAAAAACAGAAATTTTCTTCCCTGTTTGATTCATCTCCACTAGCTGATGCTCAAATCTCTCACCAATATTGTAAAACTCCATATAAACATTGACTATATATTAATAATGCTGCACTGTAAGTGAAAGGGATTTAAATATTTATTCTTTAGAATGACTGATCAATGAATGAGTTCTAGGTGAGTAATGAATATAAGCTATATTTTAACATCTTAGGACAATTATTAAAGTTATTGAAAAAAATAGCTAAGAGGACACAATATTAAACTTATCTTACCTGATCAGAGTTGACTACCTCAGCAGTAGTTGTAAGCATCCCTTGCCATACCCTAGACAGGTCTCTAAGGTTGAATATGTAGTGAAACTTTGCAGGGGTCGGAAGCATCTTGAGCTTTGTCTTCTGCCAGAGATGACGGGTTAGGGACACCAAGCTCTTTATGGTGCTCTGAACCTCAGAGCTGAAACCACGCTGACTGCAGAAGTAGCCCTCTCCAATCACACCTGTGCAACAATGGTATTGATTATATGACTTTTTCTTTTTTTTTTTTATCAAAGGTACTGGATGCAGAACATGACAGAAAACAACTCTGCTTATTCTTCAGTTAATCGCTATTTAAAAAGTATGAATTGTGCCCCCTTTCAACTGGATTTGAAGTTAACCAATTTCTTTATTTTAGAATTAGTAATCTATATTTTCTTCATGAGACTTCAATGATATTTTCTGAAATATGGAAATATTTTAAAAATCTTAAAAAAAAAAAGAAAAATAGGCATCAGGTGATACTTTTGAAAACAGAAAACTAATTGATATACAAATAGTCTATGAATTTATCTGAATTAATTATAATTTTTTTTTTTTTATATATTTTGTTATTCATAAAGGATATTATAAGAGTGAAATAGTCTTGCAATTCACAAGCAAAAATATTAGTGGTGGGCAGATTAATTCTTTAAATCTAGATTAATCTCACTGCAATCGTGGAATTAATCTAGAATAATCTAGATTAAAAATGCTAATTAATATTCTGCCAAAGGTATTCATGATATGTGAATATACCTCCAGAATTTTGTAGCAAAGGTTGACTTTTGTATGTTTGCAAAATCACACATAATTTCCTTTTCTTACTTAAAGGGGTCATATAATTAGTATATAGGGTATTTGGTGCTGGTCTTTAAGGTCTCTGAATAGGGTGTGTAACATTGGTTGGGCTGAAAATTGCATATTTGCTGTTCTATGTGCTCTAATGCAAGTCTGGTTAAAAGCTCTAGAATTAAACGACAGGTTTCCTTCCTTTTATGGTATGCTCATTAATATTTAGAGGAGCTGTGCGCTGATTGGTTGGTTTACAACGAGCGAAGCTGCTGAGCAAAGATGCATCATAGCAACAAGCACTCACTCACTGAAACATCAAAATTGTTTATATGGTAGGGTGACCAGACATCCTCTTTCATACCTAAAAAAATGTCCGGGGGGGATTTGAAAATCGTCCAGGATTTTGGTCAACTACAGTGCAGCAGAACCGAGCCGTTACCTCCGGGGCTGGTTGGGGCTGGGGATGAAGCGACCAAACCCGGACCAGCTCCAGAGCTCACGGCTCAGTTCGAATGCCCGGTCCCGTCCAGTCCAGTCAGCGCCCCAGCAATAGGGAACCTGCCTGCTTTGTAATTCTTGTAGAAGTAAACCCAACTGTAGGCTAAACAGCTAAACTTATGTCTTACATTTACCTCTATTCATGTTCTAGGGCCAGTGAACCAGTGGGCTGGTCTGTATGTCAATTTTGGGGCGTGACAAAAGTACAGGCCAGAACCAAATGAGACAACATCCCCCGATTTGACATCAATTTGGTGCTTCGTTTGAATTCGCCCGTTTTATGGTGGAAGTTTTGAATTGTGAGATTTGCAGATAAAGGAGGTGTCGATGGGGTTTGAGCTTCTCTGTACCTCCATTTCACCCTCTGCACTATCGTTATTCATTTATGACAATGTAAACTCAGTTTTGCATTCTATGACCCCTTTAAGATTTTGAGTTATACATTTTTTTTTGCTCACTTCTTAGTGTATTTTTGCTGCAAAAAATAGTGTCCCATTTCTAATTATAGATGTCCCACTTTAACAATATAGTGTCTCCAAAAATCTGCAAAAACGTTGCCTCGATCAACTTCTCTTATTTCACGGCTTTCACCGCGGCGTGCTGCTCATGTATTCTCCTCATGACAGTTCTCCTCACAGGTAGTTTTATGGGCTGGTAGCTTGTGATATTTTTTGTTCTAAGCTCTTAATACAAAAGAACTAAGAGTCTGGCATTAGCATGTTAACAGAGATAACGGCCCACCACTAATAAATATATTTTTCTTGATCATTAAATAAAAAAGTAAAAAAAACACTAATTAAAAAAGATAGGATACCCTACTGCCTATTAAATAGAGTTAGGCTGTAAAAAAAAATACTTTAGTTTAAAACTTTTAACAACCATCTACCATTCCCCAAAATTGATTTACAAAAGGTTTGCCCCACTGTTAATATATAGCTCTGGTATGTTTGAGGGGTAGAGTCTGTTTTGCTACCATACATCACTGAAAAGAATAAACACTGGACTTGACACTGCCAACAACTTTCCTTCTCTAGATTTTTAGATAGCACTTAGTGGTTGAACTGGTATTTTTGGTTCATTACTGGTTTAAAAGGACAAGTTCTGGTTGAGGTTAAAAAATTTTTTATTAACCTTTTTTTATATGTTCCCTTAAATGGTTTCTTAAAATTGTTAGAACTGGTGACAGATTCTCTCTATGTTGGCAAGCTAGACTGGTTGGCCTGTTAATATGGGGGTTTCCTATTTGTCATCAACCAAAATAAAACATGCTTAATCAAATTTTAAAAACATTTTCAAAGCACCTTTGCTCTGTTTTGTATGGATTAATATTGCATATCGGCATGCCAAAGACATAGGAAATCTCTAAGTAGTTTAATGACTGTAGCTCATCTTGTTCTCAATGCCATTTGATATCTTTAAGATAAGACACAGATCAGTGATGCTATACCCACCAAATATCTTATCTATGGAGGCATTGGAGGGAAGTGTGCAGTTAAAGACAGAGAACTGCCTTTTGAGCCTTTGAGGAATGTCATTGCGCCCTCCTCCTGGATGAATCATAGCAGCCAGGAACTGAATGTCAACAATACTGGTGAACTCTCCTGGCTTCTCTAGGTTGAAAAAGCCTTTCTGCTCCATCAGCTGTCTGACGATCTCATTAGTCACCTAGCATAAAAAGCGAAAACCATATAATTAGGATGAAAAAAAACTTTATTACCAGGCAAATGAAAATAATAAATGGGGGAAAATAAAGTATTTTTCAGGGCTGATCTCTAACCTGATCTCCCCATTCGTTGATGACAGGCATGTTAATATCATCTATGAAAATTGACATTTTCTTCCCAGCAGGAGGGCCGTAAGTCGTCCCCATCCTCTTATCCACAAAGCTCTCCACGGTTCTCTAAAAATATATAAGCCAAGTTTAACAGTGCATGCTATTAAAGACAAAGTGAGTGGTTATTCCTTGTAACAGTTTTCAAAAAAAAAAATAAAAAATTCTGACAAATAAAAAATGCTATTGAGCACAGAGGTATATTTCCATGAAAGTAAGTAAGGCACATTTTTCTTTACCTGGAACATGAGAGGTGTAGTTGCAGAGGAGAAGTTGAGGCTTTTGCTAATGTGGCTTTCAGGGTCATATTTAGACATGTAGCCTTTGATCATGACAGTCTTGGCTGTTCCTTGCTCTCCAATCAGCAAAACAGCCTTGGAAGATATTTGGTTCAGAATTAGTTTCAAGTATATTCTTCAGTGAGATGAAGCAAGACAACAAACATGGACAACATCCATTTTCAGTTGAGAGGCCTTTACCACTGCCTGTCTTGGTGCCACACCGCAAGCCTAATGCCAATGTTTGGGAGAATATACCTCTTTGAACAGATTGCTTTCAGTAATGAACTTAATCATGCCCGAGCAGTTTTAGGGTCTACAAATACACATGAATTAAAAAAAGTTATCAACCAATTACTTGATAAGATCTTCTTTTGGGATTAATCAGTTTTAGTATATTAACACATGTAGGTTTTTATGCATCCAATCTAGTGGTTAAATGTTAAGATGTTTGTGCCTATTTATGTAAACATATTGATCACATATTACAGTTCTTAGTGGCTTACAATGATTTGCTGCACTGTAGTTTTGTCTGAAATTTTTAAAAAGAAATGTTAAAAAAGTATTTTATTATGAATGTCATATTTGTCAGGGATTTGATTTGAAAAGATTTAAATTTGGTTAAAATAAAAGAGCAGTTTACTTTTTTCTTTATTACAAAATTATTAAATTATACCTCTATTCAAACAGCCATTACAAAGGCTTGATTATGCAAATGTGTGTATCATGTTAGTGATAAATATGGCATCACATAATTCTTATGTCATATCAAGAGAAATCTGAAATCTCAGAGTAGTCTTGCTGTTAAAAGCCAATACATATAAATGTTTTTGAGTATTTATTTTTTAGCTTTTTTTTTTTTTTTTTTACTTTACCTTGCCTTGCTTTGCTATAGTCTGAATAAGGAAGTCTGTTCTAACACTGTCAACGTTGGGGACCAAAATAGAGCTGTAATCAGGGGTGACATCAGATGGATAAAAGATAACCCTGGTGTTCCAGTGGACCCAGTGACCTGGAGGATTAGACATTTTTATACATTAAATAGACAGAAATAACACTACAAACACTGAATTTTAAGTCAGATGTTTGAATAAATCTTCTCAATATGAGATTTGCCTGACAAGACAAATTTTAATGTACAAAACAGAATATAACATGTTCCAGTATTTTGGAGAACAGCGTATTTATATATATATTTTTTACATCTGATCGCAATGTTTTGTTAATACATCAATAATTACCTTCCTCTGTGACATAGTAGTCAAACATGGTGTTATCACTGTCTGGAGGAATGTCTGGCAAACTTAAACTGATTCTGTCATTTGCTCTAAGCCAGGTCTCCATCTTCCTTCGGTCCTCAAGCTCAAGTAAAGCTCCAGAGCTCCACATCAGGGCAAAGACGTAAAGTCGCTCCAGGTGCTCCTTAGATAACTCCCCGCGCTGCTCCTAGAGAGATTGAAAAAACTGGCATAATTCTGAATCCGGAACTTCTGCTTTAAAAAGCCTAGAAATGTACAATGGGCTCTATGCACAACTTCATTACTTCCGTATCCAGGAGAAAAACAGGAAATAAAACAGTTCAAGAAATGGTGAAGTTGTGCATAGAGCCCATTAAAAACATGACATCAATAGAAAAACAAAAAAAGTAAAAAATATATGTGTTTTTTTTTTTTTTTACCTCTTCCAAGTTTATGTATGGTATGTTTAATTATTAAATTTTTTTTTTTTATTAGAATCAATTAATTCGTTGCTTAGCAGACACATTTTGAATAATTCTTAATTATAAATAGTGAACTTGATAATTTGCCTAAGTTTGCTTGTTTCAGAATTTAAAACAGAAGAATTTCAAGTTTTAATCCCCAATTCTCAAACCAGTCCTTTTACCACTGTAAAAAGATTAATGCTTCCTACCAACATATTTTAACATTAAGACTGTGACAAAATAAGTCAGTATAGTTTTATTATATTTTCTAATAAATTTGTGTTTTCATCTTAGTTTCATCAGTGATGAAGATGTTGCACTCTTGATTATTCCCCCAGTTACATGTATTTCATCACAGATTCTTATATCAGTGGTTAAACATAATAAGCAGCTCTACCCCTCCTAGAAGTTATTTCTTTTCATGAGAAAAACTAAATCTTATCATTCATTTTTCCTTGAGCTGCTAAAAAACAGTTATCTTTACTATTAACATAAAATACTATACTAAATTCTATAAAAAAAAAAAAACTTATATAGAAAATAAAGTAATAACTAATCTGTATTTTTTTACTGTCCAAATAATATTACCTTAGGAGGAATTAGCCCCTGCAGCATATTTATACATTGCTTGATGACAAAGGCCTCCAACATGTCCATTTTGAACTCTAAGGACTGCAAACTGAAGCGGTAGAGTTCAGAGAAGGAAGAAGAGAACAATTCTCTGAGTGTCGCTGCCTCCTGTGGAGAGCGTTTCTTCAACCAGGCCTGGTGAGAGTAAACACATTGCTGTCATTGTTTTACAATGCGGAAGATTCTAATTTGTTTAATAATGTCTGAATGCACACACACCTTAGATTAGCATGTGCTAACCTGTTTATAAAACTGCCGTCCAAGTGTATGATTTTTTTTTTCGAAACCATACAAGAATATTTAGAGTCTAGCTTAAATAAATTACATTAGGATCACAATATCTCAGTAAAATAATACAAGAACACTCTCTGCATTTACCAGTCAGTCTTTTAGGTTTTTAATAGCAGTACTAAGCTGGACCCCCTTTGCCTTCAGAACTGCCTTCATTCTCTTTGAAATAGATTAACCAAATATAAATCATTTAAGTTTTTTGTTCATATTAACCAAATAGCATCATTATTCAGGTAGGCTGTGCCACTTAAGGAATGCTCAATTTCTATAGAGGGTCTCAATCTTTGTCATTAAAGTAACCCCCATTTCGTTACATCACCACCATTAGCCTAAATCCTTAACACACCATATTAATTACCGGTATTAGCCTCGTTTCTTGCTCTTGGTTGACAAGAGCGGCACGTACATCAACTGTAACTGAAATCTTATGACACCAACAACTTTTGGTTATCAAAAGCCTCTAAATATCTTTTTTAAGGATAAGTGTATGCATTGTATATATGGCCTCGATTAGGCCTCGATCAGCATCCTGATCGAGGCCTGATGCCAAAATGCTTTGTGTTGCATCCATGGGACTCGCTATTTGTATTCACTAACAATAAATCAGAACCTAATAAAGTGAATAGTACAGTTATTGATGTTTTAGGAAAATGGATAATTTACCTCCAGAATTGGGCTCCAGCTTAGAACAGATGAACTCATGAACACCATGCCATTACGTGACACGGTTGCCGGAGAGGCATTGTCAATGTTGTGCGGCTCAAAAACCACCTTGCAGTTGGGTGCCATTGGTATACGGTCTCCATTTGCCAATGTCAGAGTTTTGTTGTCATCCAATACTGAGTTCAAGTTTTCAATCCAAATGGCATCAACAGGTCCATCCAGCACAATCCAAATATGCTCTCCTGAAAGAGGAATTTATGTTTGTGAGAATAAAATTACAGGAATTTCATGTTTGTAAATGATGGATCATTTAAACATAAATGTATATTAGTTGGCCCCCAAAACCTGGGCCACTGCATGCAGAGTTCATCCCTGCACCTTAACTCTATTTCTGTTAGGTATTTACTTTTTGAACAATTTAAATGGTCTTACTGTAAAACTGTAAATAATATCCAAATGTAAAAGCAATTATTTTGCACGACAAACTTTTCGGACCTCCTTTTGCTTTCAAGGTTTTCCTCCAAAGTGTAGAAAAGATGCCATCAGTCCAGTCATTTGTCGCCACATCCAATCTACCAAACATCTGAGGCGCAGTGATAGCTTTGGGGTTCATCCGCATCTCACTGTGAGGTTGACCACACTCTGCACAAAGAACATGTTGACTCATTTCTGCAGCACTTACTGTTTTCTTTGAGCTAAACTTTCACCTTACAGGACAAATGGGTTTCGATACAACTTATGCAATAAGACACATCAATATGGCATTTAATACTTATTCCATTTTAAATTATTGTATTTAAGACATTTTCGAAGGCAGGAAATATTAAAAGTTTAAGAGAAGCCTATGTCTTATGAGTCTAACTATGAGTAAATAGTTGTCCCCATAGCTTAAAACAAATGGTTTGGCCAAAGAGGAGTCCATTCTGAAGAAAACATCACTTTATGTGCAAAGATTTTAAAAGCCATCGTTACATCTAAATGTGTTGTATATTGCTACAAAAAAGGAGTGGGGTGTTATTTACTGGAGGTAAGGTAAATATTAAAACAAATCTTCCTCATATGTCAGACAGATGCTGGAAACGGAACATCTAAAGGACCTCCCTAATCAGTAAGTTAAGTTTTATATATTTTGTTCTTGTATTTTTCCAGGTGAATAGTGTTGGAGATCACCTCCTATCTCCATTCTCAGTGGAAATCACAACCTTCTGTGTAAATAAAAACCTAACGAAAATAAAACAGTAATTTAAAGATTAATTAAGATATATTCACACAACCCAAAATTGTTGATATTGAAATTGTTTAATGATGGTAAAAGTCCACTTTGATTTGAACCCCTGTCAAACTAACTTTTAACCCTAAGACACACATTAATCTGAATGTAAACTAGTGAGCTAAGAGACTTCTCTGTTGAAGGTGCAATATTTGATAATTCATTCCTCCTGTCTTGAACCCCTTGAACGTACATAGCACTTGTTTTAACAGAAACATTCAATTACTTCTTCAAAAGCCATATTTACAGTGTTCTTGGATCACCACAAACAAGGAATGTTTAATAGGAATGTTCTGGGAAAAAGAGCATCAATAACCAAAAAAACAAAACGGTCAATTAACTTATCAGTTCATCACTATGGTTGGTCTAATAAAAACGCACCAGTCAAAGCTTTCATCAGTGTATGTATACATGTGGTTTTTCCTGCTCCACTTGGCCCAAGGACCATTATACCATGTCGAACCATCTGAGTCTCAAACAGCTGAACAATCTTTAGCCTCCAGTGAGGATGGCTGATCAGTCCAGCACCTTCAACCTGCATGAATGTTGAAATAAAAGTTAACATTGGATTTAATTAAAGTCAAATGTCCTTTTCAACTGTATTTCAAATGCACCTAAACTGCAATACCTATCGAGAAGTTTACTATATTCCAGGTACAAAGCTAGAAACTGTAATCCATGAAATACATACATAAAAATAATTCTCCTCTCTGCACTCATTTAAAAGTCCAAACATGTTGCTTGTTGCTCCTACCTGTTTGTCAATGGCAGCTTCTAGTTCTGGGTAGCCTACTTTTTCAAGTTTGATGCTAGGGAAAAGGTCTTCAATCAGGCTCAGGAATAATTGCTCATCTTCATCAATCTATAGAAAATGAAAAGTCAATCAATCAATCAATACAACAGTCAGTATCAATTAAACACTTTATATACTTAGGTGAGCAAAATGCTGTTCAGGACAATAAAAAAGGAAAGTGCATTGACCAAAAACATATAAAGAAAAAAAAAAACATATATACATACAAAAACTATAAAACCTTTTTCTTAAGATTTTTAAGGTTTGTGAGTGTTTTCATGTTATTGCAATGTGCTTGAATGTTTTTTGAAAAGTGATTTTTTTTATATATTCTTTATATTTTTTTTTACATGAAAAATAGCCTAAAACTTATTTAATCTTTACAGTGTTTTCAGACTGACCAGTTTTGATAGATTCATGTCTCTCAGAACCCTCATGACGATGGTGGACTCTGTATCATCAGGGTTAGCCCGCTTGGCCGCTCCCAGGGTGCGTAGAACTGACAGGATGTTGCGTAGGCCAAAGTCGTAGTGAACCTGGTAAACAAAAAAAAAAAAAAAGAAAAAGCATGTTATAGGAATGTCTTACTTCCATACAGAACATAAGTAATATACAAAACCTTTTGGCATGGCTTTTACATCTCTTTACCTGTTTGGAGAGCTGCTCCTCACACAGCTTGTATAATGTGAAGAACTTGCCAGCTAACTTGATGTTGTCTTTAAAACCACAACTGGCCAGTTTCACTCTAATAATGATCTGACGGTCAGGGACCATCATGGCTACAGATCGGAAATTGATCTTCAGGTTTTCTGGAAGCTCCTGGCGACCTGCATAACCTGGGTTCTAATTATTCAGAAAAAATAAAGTATAAACAAAAAAAGAAAGAAAGAAAGAAAGAATAAAAGTAATGCAACTTCCAGAGACATGAAATAATAATAAAATGTACAGTTAGTAGCAGTGGCAGCTGGTGGAGTTTACTCCAGGAGGGGCTATAAATTGAAAATAGACGATAACAAAAACCAATCAAACCTGTAGACAGTTATCACACCAGTATATACATATGAATGCCACCAACAAAGAACATTATAAAAAACATTATAAAAACAAAACATAATTTGATGTACAATTTTGGTTTTTCCTTTTGTACATATATCTTGCCCTTTTGAGGCTTTGTGAAGACACATCTGTGTTTTGCATGGTCCAATATTGTGTCACAAATAGGATAGCCAGATGTCCAGCTTTGGGCCGGACTGTCTGGATTTTAATTGCATTGTCCGGTGTCCGAACGACTATTTGTCCTCTTTTATGGGGCCCAAGATTTTTTTTCCCATTTTTGCTACAGCACAATACAGTATCTAATCAAAAAAAAAAACAAAAAAAAAAACATCGACTATCTGGTCTAACAGATCATTGGTTAAGAGTGTAGCCATGACAGATGATGCTTGTTATTGGTTAAAAAAATAAACAAGGATCAGAGTGCTGTTGATATACATTGACAGAAAGTTAGCACCATGCCAAAATGCAAGCCCTTGTTTAACTCTGAATGGACAAAAGAGCATAAATAATAGGCTTTTTTTTTATCATGTATGCCACCTGTTAAAAGTTTTTTAATATTTAAGTCCACATATTTGTGGCATTCTGCACTTTAAAGATTCATCTCAGTGCACTTTTTGAACACCATAATGTAATGAATATATACAAATACTATTAACTGGGGCTGCAACTTGTTGTTATTTAGTAAATCAATTCATCTGTGGAATATTTTTAAATTAACTGATTAATAACCAGGTTACTTAAATAAGATATTTTACAAAAATTAAACCAGAAGAAACTAAAACTTATCCCCTTGAGGAGTGCTGGATAGAGCATACTGAGACAAAAAAGTTATTTTTATCTTAAATGCAAAATTGTATACATTTTTTTACACAATCTTGGTATAATTACTGCAATAAGTGGATTGCTTAGTCAGCTGAAGGCACACTTTAGAGCCTCTATAGTCCAGCTAATGATTAATCGATTCCTAAATTAGCTGACATCATTTCAACAATCAATTAATCACATTTATTACGATTGTTTCAGCCCTATTTGGAACCAATACTTTTTTAGTTTTTATTAATATTTTCTATTCAGCTACACAAGCATCCTCTATAAGCCCTTCAAAATTGTATTATAAATGACAGTATACCAGATTCTTATGTACACCTTAGTAATTTATTGATATGTTGCATGATGTCCTCCTTTTTGGTCCTATAGAAATGGCCACCCTAGATCACAAACCTTAAAATGACTCATGCATATTCAAAGCCAGCATGCAAACTACTGTAAGTGTGTGCAGAAAGAACCCAGGCCAGGATTTAAATTCAGGACTTTCTTGCTGCAAGATTACAGTGCTATAAATTGCAAGATCTTGCTGCTCATTAATAAAGTCAAATTTATATTTTGTTTTATTAAGCATAAAGTTCATTTTTTTACTTTTGATAAGAGTTGTTTGCAGAACCACCTACTGTAACTTAAAACAATGACTTAAAAAAAACAAAGGCTGGACAGCTGTATTTTCCTCATGGTGAGGTTGTGCGACTGTAATAGATCAAGGTATTTGAAGATTTTTGCACATATTTACTCAAACTCCCAATAAATGTAGATGGCTATATCTATTCATACAGCATACAGAATATCTTGATCATAGAGTTAAACTTATAAATTATTAAGTTAAAAATGGAAGATAATTTTCATTCCCAAGGAACACATCTTGAGGCCTAAATATGCTGTATTTGATTTTTGCATCTATGTATGCAGAGATGTACAAGCACACATAGATGTAGAAGGAAGAAATGATCTCTGACCCTCTGAAACAAGTAAGGACTATACCGCCTTGATACAAAGGTGATGCAGAAGTAAAATAAATGCCAAAAAGTACTTTATGGGAAGCATAATTATAAAGAAAGACCACTTTAAACTTTAAGCAGTCAACCTTTTAAGGTTACAGAAGCTAAAATATATTAAAGGCAACTTATTTTCATATAATCCTTTGATCTGTTATTTATTATAGGATCTCAAAAACCTCACAAAGTTAAAATGTATGTTTAACATTCAGCTACAAAGCTTAGGAATTCTGTACTACCATAAAATAATTAAAATATTTTTGCCCCTTTTATTTTTTAAATGTTTTCCATAAATCAGATACATAACATCACACTGACAAACTTTATTTCTACATTGGCTGGAGTAAAGGAGAGGCATTAACTGATGCACCCTTTACACATCCTTAGGGGTGGACTCCCATTTCTGCTGTTTTAATTATTTTAACTTATCTGTGTAAAACTTTTCTATTTGTTTTGATTTTTGATGTTTCTCTTTTGTATTTGTTTAGCACTTAGTTGAAGTTGATCATACCACCTTCAGCCTTATAACTGAAGGTGGTACGTTATTATAACTTAGGTTCATAATTAATATAGAAGGGTATATGCAACCTAAACCTCCTCTTACAACTCAATAAGTCATTTCTTAAGGAGAGTAAAATGCACAATTATTCTAACTTTCAGAAGTCATAGAAGCCTTTTACAGGATTTGGCTTCATGCCTTTTTTTCTGGTGTTTCTCTAATCTCACACAGACACATTACTCGCCTTAGGTAAGGTAGCATGGAAGAAAAGATCTGCATGGACTACAAAACAGAGCGTGGTCAATACTTAATGGGACATTGATCAAGTCAGACATAGATCCAAAAGGATGAACAAGTAAGGTTACCAGACAAGAGCAATAAATTTGCTGCTCGATGTTGTCAGCTTCTTTGCAGGAAGGTCATGTTTAGCTCCGTTTAAATACATCACTGCATTATTAAATCAGATATGATAACTTACAATAACTTACCATGGTGAGGAAAATGCCAAATTCAGGATTCATGTCGATACTCTCTCCATCGGTGAAGGTAAACTTTTTGCTACGATCCTTTTTGCATGTAAGAACTATTGAAATCTGCTGGGCTGCCACCGACAGGACTGGGAGGTCAATGCGGTTAAATTCATCAAAACATCCCCAGGAGCCAGACTGTGCCAGACCTGGAAATAGTACAGAGTTTAGCCATTCCATGATCATTTGTCATTTTTATAAAAGAAACAAAAAGAGAATTTTGGGATCTCTTTTTTAGGCAAAGACAATCCAATATTCAAATTTGTGACATTTACCTTTGAATATTCTTCCCAGGCCTCTGAAATCCATCTGGTCAGAACAATTGAAAACCACAACGTATTTGCCCAGACAGCGACCCATGTCCTTTATGGTCTCAGTCTTGCCTGATGACAAAATGTAAATAACTTACTTAAAAAAAAAAAAAAAGTGAATGCAACCAGAGGCCCTAACAAAAGATGTATATATACATGTCCCTTAAAAACCAAAAACTCTAATGAATGTTATTATTTTGAATCTTTGAGCCAAACGAAGTTAAGCAATTACATGGAGGGAAAGAAATGATACATGGTTTCTACCAGGTTTTCCATATAATCTGAAAAGTGTGTCTTGTATGCAATAAAACCACCAGCTGCTGCAGTTGCCACATTGTCTCATAACTACGAACTGAATTACTTTCCTTAAATGCCCTCCTTATGGGTCTCTAGAACTTTTTCAAATATATATGACAATGGAAAACAATAGATTTTCTTTAGTTTGTTTGATTTAATATGGTGTGCAGGACGTCAAACAAACATTCATTATGTTTCTAATGCTGCACAAATTTGTATGATAAATAAATAAAAAAAATTTCATTTTGACATTCCTGTCAAGAAAGATTTGGGTCATAGCCTGCAACACAACATGGCGTGGTGCCAAGCAGGTAGCGTTTGGAAACTAAGTGGCATGTGTCTCAGACCATGGATCGCAAAGGGAAAAATAGGATGATAGCTTATGAGAACAGAGGATTCAAAGAAGAATGGACCGAATCATTTGCTTTCATCACCAATGCAGAAGGATTGCTTTCATGTCTGCTTTTAAACAGAAGTTGTCAAGTAATAAAAAGTGTAATTTAGAAAGGCATTTCCAGGCTACATTCTACATTTACAGCCAGCCACCAAGTTGGGAGTAAGAGAAAAAGTGCGATTGCAGTACTTCTGGATAAATTACAGGAGCGCAAAGATAGATTGAAGAAGTGGATTGCATCTCTAAACTCCACTACTGCTGCTAGTGTTGTCGCAAGCATGGAAAACCGTTCACAGATCAAACAGGTAGCGCTCTTATGCAAGTATGTAAACTTTCTTTAATTTTTTTCCCCAAATTCTCAAAATTATAAAAAAAAGTATTTAAAAAAAATCTGATTTCTTTATTTTGTTTCTGTAATTTCATCAATGCAGCAAAACTTAATACTGTACATTATTATTGTAATGGATTTTAAACTTAAAGTTACAAATATTGTACAGCAGAGTAGTCACATGATGTGAGATTTGCTCTAGGATAAGCATTTAATCCATACATTCATCCATTTTCTGACATCCCAATCCCAAGTGGGGTCGCGAGGGGTGCCGGTGCCCATCTCCAGCTGTCTACTGGCGAGAGGTTGGGTACACCCTGGACAGGTTGCCAGTCCATCGCAGGGTAACACAGAGACAAACAGGGCAAACAACCTTTCACACACACAATCCCACCTAGGGAGAATTAAGAGAAACCTAATGGTCATGTTTGTGGACTGTGGGAGAACATGGAAGAACTCAGGGAGAACATGCAAGCTCCATGCAGAAAGACCCCGGGCCGAAAATCGAACCCATGACCTACGTACTGCAAGGCAGCAGTACTACCCACTGCGCCACTGAGCAGCATTTAATCATGAATTCTTGATATACATTTAACCCCATGTAGTCCTTTTGATTACTGGCTAATACACTTAGAGCCCGTGTTGCCATAAAAGGCTTATATAAAACTTTTTTATTTTTGTGTCTCCAGACAGATTTGTTTTTTTTGGTCCAATATCACTCTTTAAACAGTTTGGGTTGCCGGCCCCTTGCCTTACACCCTTTGTAAATGGACGACAAAAACCATTGTTACTCATCAGTTTTTCTAAGCATTGGCAGAAATGCTTAACTAAACAACAACAACAAAATCTTTGACTTACCTGTGCCTGCAGGACCAGCAGGAGCTCCACCCATGTTCATACCAAGAGCCTGAGCTAAGGTGATGTAACACCTAAGCAAACAAAGGTAAAAACAGGCATGTAGCATTTTATTTTGCTGGGATAAAAAATTTTGGCAATTTTTTTTTTAAAACCCCTCAAATGTTTATCCTTATCTGACTGGGAATGCAATTATTGTCTAAAAACAATTATACTGGACTACAAACAAGATATACTGTACAATCATCTGTAATACAGTGCATTAAGCCATTATTTTGTAAACTAGTCTCAATCATATTTTCCAAACTACTAACCAATTGTATCTGAAACCCAAAAGGAGCTGAGTAGAGAATTAGAGAAAATATGTTTGAATAAACAGGGAGGGTCCCGAATAAAAAAAACAAGAGAGAGAAACTCTAAATTAGGGGAATGATAAGATACTGGCCTAGGCAGTGAATGAAAAAGGAAGAAGAGAAAAGAATCAAATGTTGCTTCCACTGCCTTCAGCCATAGGGTCATTGTTTTAGTTCTATGAAGAGCCACTGTCAGATCACTGCTTGTACTTCCCTCTCTGCTGCTGTCCTTTCACATCCTTGTCTCATTGACATGTCTCTTACTGTGTCTCTTCTAATTTTTCTATGATTTTCTTTCTATCCCACCGTGCTTTTGGTGATTGTTGGTTCATTCCTGCCTCTCATTTTCAGTCTAATATATTTATTTTGCATGTCAGCCACCTTGTCTTCCAGTGAAAGGGGTTAATGATCACTGAAGAAGAATGCTTATTCAATCTGTATCTAATTTTTAGATGGTTTAACAGTAAACATGCTCACAGTACATGGTTTTAAATATTACATTACTCTTATAGAAGATGTTGGAAGAAAAAGTAATTCCTCAAGGCTGGATAAAGAAGTGCCTTCTTCTCTTCAGGTTACCTATAAGGAATTTTGCAGAATCTAGTCCCGGGAGCTATGGTACCCCCTTTTGTATCTCAGGTCAGGTTAATTTTTTATTGAAAAGCCTAATAACTATTTTTCCTCAAGACTTATTTTTTTCTTCATATAATTGCTTTCCAAGTTATCCTGTTCTCATTAAACATTCTTTCCTGCCCCCTTGAGGAGACTTCGTTATTTGTGTTTTGTATATATTGATCTGTTTGAACTACCGTAGCTGTTAGTTCCACACTGTTTCATCTAAGCAGTCTCTGTGGTGTTAAGCCTCCTATCTTCTTGTTTTCACCCATAAAGATATCTGTTTGTAAGTATTGGGTAATGTGTAATGTCAGAGTCTGAATTTATATTTTTTAATAAGTTCAATTCAGTTGTTTGCGTAATGTAAACAAATGCTAATTACGTTGGCATGTGTATGGTGTTTTCAATGTAAATTAGCATCGTGCTAACCGTTAACTTACCTCTTATTGCTTTTAGCTCATTTAAGCTATGTTTTCTGATTATTGATGTGTAAAGCATATTGCAATGGCCATTCCTATGTCTGTGTCACAGTTTTACAGTTTAACCAGTGAAAGAAGCATTGCAACAGGCTTTCTGCTGACATATTGGTGACGCTGTTAGCTATCTGTAAAGCTGCTGATGAAGGTTCTCAGTCATCCAGATCAAAGTCATTCCGTAAAAATTCAAAAAATATCCACTGGACTTGGTTTTCAAGATTTGAAGACGTTTCGCCACCTCTCCAGGAGGCTTTCAGGAGGCAACATTTGAATTGAGAAAGCCTCCTGGAGAGGTGGCGAAACGTCTTCAAATCTTGAAAACCAAGTCCAGTGGATATTTTTTGAATTTTTACGGAATATCTGTAAAGCTAATTCTAAGTTTGGTGAAAGGCAGAATACCTTCAACATTTAAAATGTGATATCTCCTACTGTCTGACGGTTCATATTTTTTTTCCTATTTATACTGAACACTGATTTGTACTTTCCAGCATTTTAGTTCTGTTTTGCATTGATAACCTTGTATTCTTTAATATGTGTTTGTGTGTTTTCACTGATGTACTTTTACCTGTCAGTCAAAGGAGTAATGACAAGCCTTTCTGTGCAGCCCAGGAACTCATTCTGGTAAATAAAGCTTATGTCAGTGATGCTTATGGACATCAGGTCTGACTTCTCAATGAAGTAGAAACGACACTGCTTCAGCCAGTCAAAATCAGTGGGGCTTTTGATATGTGACCGGCACTGAAAAGAAGAGAGAAAAGAAGGAAAAAAAATGGTTGAGACAAACTACCATGGATGGATGTTAAGTTACAACAACTGAAAAAACTATTGATATCTTCAGGCAAATGCTAATGCGACTTAAAAACGGAGAAGACTGGATGTATTAAAGAAAATAGTAGGAAAGAGGAGGTAAAAAGATTTTAGGAGAGAATTTAAAGGAAATAGGTGAGAGGTAAGTGAGAGTCAACCATTGGAGAGAATTATTTATTTATACTTATTTGACTCTGGTTAGGCCCACTGAGATCAAAGATATATTTTCTAAGGGGGATAGAGAGCAGAAGGCGGAAAAAACAACAGTCATACTGGTCTACATTAAAAACATTCACTAATTGATGAGCTGGACTGCAGTGGTTTTAACATAGCTTTTGTCATAGCTTGAAGCCAAAGTTCAGTTTAATATCAGACTCTTGATCTATAATTGATTTCATGCATAAATGCCAAATGCAGTCCTTTCTGCATCATTTAACACTAACTCTTAATAAAGTTGAGGTATTTTGGTACAGTAACGAAAGCCATTAGAAGTTCAAAATACTTATAATCTGCCTAATTGTGGTTATCTTTGGCATTATCCAACAATTAGACATCAAGCTGAGTGTATTTGGGCTGCCCTATAAAATAACTCAATTGAGATTGCTCTTATTAATCTATTTCACTCACCAGCTGATCAAATATATCCCTTTGGTGGACATGGATAGTTATCAGGGTCTCATATTTGGTCCTCGCTACAGCTTCCAGATCTTTCGTTGTTGTTTCAATTAGTTTATTCAGCAACTCAATGAAAAAAGAGTTGGTTTTTGACATAATTTTGGGATCAGATGCGGCCTTGATAAGAGCCTTCTCAGAGTCTCTTGTCCATATCATCTGGATACCCAGCAGCCCCACCTGCACCAAGAATATCACTGAATTAATGATATGGTTATTGATTGACATGAATACTTAAAATAAAATGTTGTTTTAAATACCTCTTATGAATGTAGGCTTTTGGGTTGTGAGCTTGGGGAATAGTTCTAAAATAAAGGGTTTTGATTTACCTGAGCAGGGAAAGAATTGAGGAACTCAGTAAGCTGGAAGTCAGATTCCTGGATGGCCTGAAAAGCCTGTCGAATCACTCGGTGCAATGACCCCTGGGATTCTTTCAGCAGAGCGTTCAACCATACTTCAACATTTCCTTCCGCTGTGACAGGATGCTCCAGCTCTACTGTTTCCCCCTCACGTGATGAGACAGCAAGAATTCGATCATATATCTGAAACAGAACAATTTTCTTTGAATAGGATAAAGCATGTTTTAATATATATAGATTTCTCTTTATTTAAGCTAATGATTTTCTCCTGAGAAAATGTATCAGTTCTAAGATTTACTGTGACACAAGTAATAGAGGTTGTAGTTTTTTTGCTTTTAAAACTACCTTACAGTAATTTATCATTTCAGGTTTGAGATAAGATGCAGATACATTTTAATTTTTGCTTATTTTGTCAGGTACAGCTATGTGCATGTATCCAAACTGAAAGTTATGCTCCAGACCAGCACAAAATGTATGTAACTTTAAAGTGGAAGGAAAACTCTAAATGACTTTAATTGTTTTTTTTTTTGACAAAAAGTATATTTTGACACTTATTTTGTTACAGAAAAGTGTCATTTTTTCATCTATTCAGTCCTACTTTTTCTGAAGAATAATAATCGATCACCTAGCTAAATAGAGACTACGTGAACACCATGAAAGGTGACAAATACAGCAGACAGATCAGAGGTGAAGATGTAGAGAAGTTGAAAGTAGTTACCTTATAGATAAGTGACCCTAGTTACACACCAGTTATCTCTGGGCTCTGTTTAACTTTAGAGGGACATCCACTGACAGAATTATTTGGAGAAGCTGTCAAGATGGAACTACAGAGATCCACAGCTCAGGCTCACAAGAGGCTTTGATCAGCAAAGAACAAAACTAAACTTTTTTAATTGCATTAGAGACGCACCAATCCATTTTTTTCCACATCTGATAAATGATCCAGCTAATTAGTAGACATCAGAGTGATATCCAATGCAAATATCGTATCAGTGTATTTTCTAGCTTTCATGCAAAATAATATAACATGTGTAAAATTAACACTGTATTGGTGTATAAGGAAAAAGATAGACAACAGTAAATATACAGCAAATAGTCTAATGATTTAGGTCAAATGATACACTAAATAAGTGTCAGAAGCCTAATTAAGATCAGGACGTAAACTTCACTCAAAATTTGTGAGTCTTAAGATTTTGTGTTTATACAATCTAACTGTAAGTCTCTCGACATGTAACTTAGACTATGTCAGGGCTACACTATACAGTATGGCCATAACTTATATCATTAAATAGATCTTAATTTGGGTTGATACGATATGATTTGATAAACAAAATAAACAAAAAAGACTGCCAGGTATGCTCACAACAGAATCCTGTTGAATCTTTTGACAATTATGTTTCCACATTTAGAAAACTGCTTAGATATAATATCTATCCATACATTTTCTTTCGCTTTATCCGGGGTTGGGTCACGGAGCCAGCAGACTAAGCAGAGATGCCCAGACATCCTGATCCACACACACCTCCTTCAGCTGCTCTGTGGGGACCCCAAGGTGACACAAGGCCAGCTCAGGAACATAGTCCCTCCAGTGTGTCCTGGGTCTTCCAAGAGGCCTCCTCACAATAGGACATGCCTGGAACACCTCGGAAGCGACCAGGAGACATCCGGAACAGATGCCCGAGCCACGTCAGCTGGCTCCTTTTGACATGGAGGAGCAACAAATTTACTCTGAGCTCCTCCCGGATAACTGAGCTCCTCACCCGATCTCGAAGGGTGTGCCCAGCCAACCTGCGAAGGAAACTCATTTTGGACTCTTGTATTCGCAATCTTGTCTTTCGGTCATTACCCAGCTCTCATGACCATAGGTAAGGGTGGGAATGTAGATCGATTGGTAAATTGAGAACTTCGTCCCCCGACTCAGCTCCCTCATCACCACGACAGTCTGATACAGCGACCACACCACGGCCGCACCGATCCATCTATCGATCTCACATTCCTATTCCACATTGAACTTCTCCACTTGATACAAGGACTCTCCACCGACCTGAAGAAAGGAGTCCACCTTTCTCCGATGGAGAACCATGGCCTCTGATTTGGAGGTGCTGAACCTCATCCCGGCCGTGTCACACTCGGCTGCAAACCGCCCCAGTGCATGTCGAAGGTCCTGGTTTGATGAAGCCAACAGAACAACATCATCTGCAAACAGGAGAGCATATCCCGAGGTTCCCAAACCAGATATCCTCCAGTTCCTGGCTGCACCTAGAAATTCTGTCCATAAATGTAATGAACAGAACCGGTGACAAAGGGAAGCCCTGGCGGAGACCAAAATGCGCCGAGAACAGGTCTGACTTACTGCTGGCAATGTGACCCAAGCTCCTGCTGAGTTCATACAGAGAACGGAAAGTCCTTATTAAGGAGGCAGCTCACGGGGGGTTGGCTTCAATATAACATTTAAGAAATATATATAAAAAAAAAAACATATAACCTACTGTAGGCCATCAGCAAGTGACACAAGCTGTAATAATAGATTCTATTGTATACTGACATATCAGAAATGTAATTCACCATCACTAAAAAATAATCTATCCATTTTTCTGTCACACTTATCCCAAGCACTGTCGCGAGGGGTGCTTGTGCCGAGCTCCTGCTGTCTACGGCTGAGAGGCGGGGTACACCCTGGACAGGTTGCCAGTCCATCGCAGGGAAACACAGAGACAAACAGGACAAACAACCAAAAAACAAATGAAAATTTAGGGAAACAAATTGACCTAACAGTCATGTTTTTGGGTTGTGGGAGGAATGGCATCTCTCTGGAGTACCCAGAGAGAACCCACGCATGATCAGGAAGAACATGCAAACTCCAAGCATAGAGAGCCAGGCTGGGAATCGAACCCAGATCATCTTGTGCTAGGCGACAATGCTACCCACTGTGTCACTGAGCAGCCTACTGTGGAATATATATTTTTTTTCCCAGCCCTACCTCACCAGGGAACTGGCTCGTGAGAGTCTAACACAGACACACCCACACAAAATTATCTATCTGCTCTTATGTATCTCCCTGCCTGCCTGGTTGTCAGTCATCTATATATAGACAGATATAGATATTATTTAGTCACCTTATCATGGAATTGTACGGTTTTGATGTTGTCAAAGACATTGAGAAGGTGTGCCTGGATAGTGTGGGAGTCAGAGGCCTGGCCCAGAATTTCCAGCAAGGCAGGGTCAGAGATGAAGAAAAAACGTGGAAAAAGCAGTCGCTTCTTCTCCAAATAACTGAAAAAACAAAAAACAAAAAAACAATTCAGTTATAAAAATCCTTTTAATAGTTAAAAAGCAAACCCATAATTTTAAATTGTTTATAACACTTTGGTATAAGTTGAGTAAAAAGTGCCTGTGCTCACCCTGTAAGTGACTTCTGGCAGATCTCCAGCTGCTCCAGCAGGTGAGGAAGCAGCTGGCCCATCGTCTCATCTCCCACACACGATTGCACAACATTGGGCATTTCGTGAGCTCGCATCATGATCTTCACCCAGGACTTATCAATAGTTGAGAAACGCTTTGCTTCCTAAATAGTTTTAAACAATGTATTACTTCTCAAACAACTCATTAGATTCACATTTCTTATACATGCGCCAATTGTATTTTGTATTCCTTTAAAACCAAAAAAGATACTGTATAGTGTATATAATAGTCTACAAAGACAAATCATTGTGAATTGTGAGTGCCTGATCATTGACCAGATTTCAAATTTAAATTTATCTTCAAATTTCAGGATTATCTTGAGCACTCTGTTGTAGAGCTGCCTAGAGTTGATTTGAATATGGAGATTTTCAGCTTAATTCTATATATTCAGATATGGGAGCTCTTTAGGAGAAAGCAGAGTAATCAACAGGTCAAGTTTTCCAAAAACCTGATTTTTATGAGGTTTATATATATAGGCAAAGGTCTAATTGCTTATGAATCTGAAGTGAAGGCAAATCATCAAACCAACAATGTTGTCTTGTTAAAGTTAACCACAGGATTATTTAGAGGACTACACATAGGATGCCATAATTTACTCTTATAAATTATCTTCCATAGTTATAGTATTGAAGGATGTAATCAGTTTTAACTCAACAGTCATCTCGTTATCACGAGAAAACGGCTTTCATTATCTTTGGTTGATGAGAAAATTTACTGAAAAAGTATCAGAGGGACACAACCGCTCTCGGCTGCCGTACATAACACCAGAAAATGTCTAGGAAATTTAAATGATATATAAACAAAAGTATAATTTATGAAAGTAGTGATAACTCCGCCAAATTTCGAATTGAAGGTATTTTTGTGTTTATTTTTTCTTGACTGTAAATGGTAAAGACTGTGTCATTTCTGGTTAAAAAAAATAACAACTGATGTGAAAGAATACTTTTAGCTGTTGGTGTATGTGGATAATCAATCAGGTATATCTGTAATCCTGCTTTTACCTTGGGCAGCTGTTTAGCAATGTCTCCCCCTACAAACACAGCTTCCAGATAGATCCATAGATTCTGGACATTCATCCACTGTTCAATGATATCAGTGGTGTTAGAAAGGTTCTGAACCCATTTCTGGATCTGAGCTTTAAATGGGGTGTTGTACCTTAGGAAGAAATTAAATCTGCATGTTAAACAATCATTGACATAGACATCTGGGTAATTTTTGCACTTTAATTTTTTTTTAAACCTATGTGAGAAACTTTTGTTTACAAAATAATATTCACTTATTGTACCTAATTCTTCGGATTTACAATTTCTAAGTATTATAAATGACATACCGATTGCTCATGAGAGACCCCAAAATCATCAAACTGTCATCCAAGCTAGATATGATTTCTGCTGTGCTGTCTCCTCGCAGAAGCAGCTCTCCCCGTGTCTTGAAGTTGGCAAATGTAAAGGTTGTGATGTCCCACTCAGCGATCACTTGCTTCAGTTTCTGCTCAATATCTCGCTCTTTCACAGCACTGATACAGATGTCCTTTAAATTAAGTTCCAAGATAGATGTTGTAATGATTTAATTTAATTTAAAACAAAATTTTAAACAAGCACAATTTATAAAAGGGCAATGTAAAAATTCAGGATACAGAGCATGTTCATAAAGACAAAGTAAAATCTGCCATTCTTTTTTGCTTTCTTGTGATACTTAGAACACAATTTATGTCTAAAAATAGGGTAATCTAACTAAATTCAAAAAGTGTTTTTAGATTATTTTTTTTCATAAAAGGAAAGGAAGGCCTTGATGATTAGCGCAACAGCATGTTTAGTTTTTTGTAAGCTGTGATATGATATGTCCACTCCTAATAAAAAAAAAAAAAACTTACTGACAACACAAATGTTTCTAGTAACCTAACCTAAATACAGCTTACAGCATTTCTTGCCATACATGGTGAACCTTCATTTTCTACGGTACTTACCTCAACTTCCTCCTTAAACTTCAGCAGAGGCGCCTCCATTATGTTACGAAGCTTGAATGTGTCAGTTTCAATCTCAAATGTATGGCCAGTCACCTGAGAAAAAAAAGATGAATCACAGCCATTTCTGATTGAAAAACATATGTGTTTTTGATGAGTACTGATTTAAACTTTTACTCAATTTCCATCTGACCTCTGTGATTCTCTTCCAGTGGCGTGTCATCATGGCATTGTTAGTCATGAGCTCCAGCAGGGGGCAGCACTCATTAAAGTCGTCAATAGTTTTCTTCAGATCCTGGAAAGCTTGCCATTCCTTTAGAGCATGAGGCAGCTTGCGGCATCTGTTTAGTTAAGCAGATTTTACACCTGCTATTTAAAACAGTTGATGCCTTAACAAATTATAAGGTGATCTTAACCCTTTATAGCCAAGTGCATCGTATACAGTAGATTTTGAAACCTCTGCAGCATCAGTGTGATGTTTTTGTTCTTGAAACACTGACTTACATTATCAGACACATGTAGTGAACAGAAAACATAAAAGATGATATAGAAATGCGTAATATTTCAAAATTGATGCAAATAAATTATGTAATTTTATGTTTTTACAACATTTATATAGTTATTTTATTTGTCACAAAGTTCAATGACAATTACAATTTTGGAAAATTAGAATCTTCTGTCAATTATTTCCTGGTTCAGGCTTTAAAGGGTTAAATATGAATTTCTTTTTGTTGCCATCAAAGGTTTAGCTGTCATTAAACTAAGAATGATTGAATCAACAAATTAATGCTGTTTGTTGATATGATAACATCAAAGTCAAAGGGAATAAACTAGGAATCAGATACTTTAATACCTGCAGCTTCACAGAAACATACAGCCACTCTGTTGCAAAAATGTAATCAAAGTCTTTAGTCAATTCATTAACCCTGCCTGACCAATAACTTCTTTTAAGTTTCAGAGTTGCTGTGATCAAGTGTCGCTGATGTAGCTGCAACTATTCCCCTCTGAAGAGAAACCCCTCCAGTGGAGGTTTTAAAAGGGCCAGCTTTCCGTTTCAACGTTCTATTTTGCCAGTGGCTCCGTGCCGCTAAAGGCTAGTCAAAGCGCTTCCAGCTGAAGGCTACGCTAAGTAGCAATCAAATCCCTCCGGAGAAGTCGGCGCTCGCTGAACCGAGTCATTTTAACCCCTGGTCTTTTGTGTTTATTTTACACAGTGAACGATTTATCACTCGGTCTGGATTCACTCTTTCAGTAGTATCCGAATGAACAGAGACACATTTATTTGGTTGGTGGTTAATAACGTTTTTGATAGCCAAAGTCCAAATTACTAAATTGGTAAAAGACAACTGAATTTTTATCAACCAAAGTCAGGAGTCCAACCTTTCAGGTAAGAGGCTGAAAACCCTGGTCAGTAGGTCAATTAGAGTTATAATCATTCAACTGATAATAATTAATTAGTTTTTCCATTGATTTCAATTACCTATTAATGAACTATCTCTTCCAGTTCTTGTTATTTCATATATTTTATAATCTGGTAAATGCTCACAACAGCACGCTTCTCATTATCAAGAGATCAAAAAATATATATATATAACATCAGTTTAAAGTTTTCACCATTAGGTGAAAACTGTAATCATTTGACGTTTCTTTTGGAATAAATCCACCCTTGTAAATTGGAGACTGCAGAAATTAACTGTTGATTGAATTTCAATGCAAACCAGACAGAAGTGACTTAAACAAGGCATATTTTGAGCCATCATAGTGCTACATTTTCTTTTCTTATCTCTAGTTGAGATTATTAAATCTAGTTTCAGGATCATGGAGGGGGTGATTAAAACTCTTCAATCATTAGTGTTCTTAACTAGGTTAGAAACAACTACTAGAAACAAAAAAAAAAGGTTTAACCTTGATTGAAAGTCGAGCAGCTCATTATTAATCCTCTCAATGTTGATGTCAGCCCAGAGTATGTCGTTGTATCCATTGACTCTTTCGATGACATTGTTGTAAAGGCCATACAACTTCTGCAGCAGGACCAGCTGATTTTTAATCTTTAGCAACTGATGGTGCTGTGTAACCGGAATTCCAAAGAGCTCCTGTCCTCCACTGTAAGTTATGTACTTCCTGTAAAGGTTGTCAAACCGATTCTAAAAACAAACAGGAGGGAATTAATCATTTAGATACAGTCTAGAGTGTAAATATACTACCATATCAAAATAATTTACCGGAGATAACTTTAAACAATTTTATATCTGAAATAAAATATGTAATTTGTCAATTATTTTTGCAAACAAATAAAAAGCAAACAAGTTTGTCAATGAAAAAGACTATTTGTATCAACACCATATATTTTAGGATTAATCAGCATGTGATCAGAAACCACATAACTTTCTGTTTCCATATGTAAGTGGTCCTTATCATAAAGGATAAGTAATTTACTGCAAACCATTACAAACGAACCTGGAACATAATTAGTCGATCACTGGCCTCCTGAGGAGCCAATTCCTTCACCATGGGCCCATCCTAAAAAGAGAGGGGGTAAAAAGTCAGTAGATTTTTTTATTATAACAATGAACAGTTAACAAAAGGCTCAGTGCTTCCCATGTAGCTATTTGTGTTGGTATACTGGTATACTGCCTTAGTTGAGCAGGGCTGAGGGTGAGGAAATGTTAAGCTTATTTGAGCATGTGTGTCATCTTCTGGACTGCTCCCTGGGCGGCGCACAATTGCAGCCCACTGCTCCCCAAGGGCATGGGGTAAATGCAGAGAGTTCATTTTGTTGCTGTGTACTTGTGACAATGTAATAACAATAAAGTTGAATTCTATTCTTTATATTATATGTGTGTTAGAATGAATCAGATGTGGAATTTGCAGTGTTCAACTGCCTTAAGGTGGAGTGTTATTGCTATGGCATCACAGACTATTTTCTTTTCTAACTGAACCATCAAATGAGCATCTTTAAATTAATTTTTCATAGTTTCGCTAACAGTTTTAACCATCTGGCTAAGTTACGCTTCTGCAGCACAACTATTGAGCCCTAGATGTAAAACCTAGGCATCGGTTGTGTAGCAAAGTAATCCATTGATTTCTATGATACTCTACCTTTTCATATTCCTGGTAGAATTGATCACAGTCATCTTGAAAGGTCTTTACATTGCAAATAAGTTCTTGCTGGAAGTGTGGCTGCAAGGCATCCAACTCATTCTGCACCTCAGTAGTTCTGGATAAGAGCTTTTCCCAGGTGTAGCGTAGAGCATCCACCTTGTCAACCTCTTCCTTGGCCACTGACAGTCCGTATTTTTGAAGCATTGCATAGGACTCCTGTGAGGAGGGGGAAAAGGGTTAATTGTTTCAACTGTAAAGCAAACGGATTGAGTGTAAATTCTGTCATACAATACATACATTATATTTGCCTATATACTAACAAATACATTAACTTAAATAACAGCTTGTTGACTTTTTAATAAACTCTTATGCCGCGTTCAGACCGTACGCGCTAAAAGCGGTAATTTCCACTAGCCCTGCAGGTAGTCCACTGCTTTCCATTTGAGATGCACAGTGTTTACGCCCTGGAGCGCATCATCAAATAGGTGGAACTTCACCTCTGTGAAGCGGACACCACACTGACACGAAAAAAATGTAGCAAATAGACTGAATGGTTAGTGCTTCATTGGCGCAGGTTTGGAAAAAAAAAAAATAGATTATATAAGCTGCTGCTGTTTCAGAGATATTTTATTTCTTTAGGTCAACTATCCCACGATTAAGCTCCAAATTGAATCAAAATTATGTAGCCTACTTTTTTAGAACTACTTCATTCGTGCAGGTAAATCTATCCTTTGTGCTAATTTGAATCATGACCGATGACATCACAATCCCAACAGACGTTAGTGCTGATATAAAGTTATTGCATAACACAAATCCTTCCTGTGCTGGTAATGAATGTAACAGTGAGCATGTTTGACTTATTTTGTGGCTGGAATGATTGTTTAATATTTAATCCCCCGCCTCCCAAACCTTTCGCTTTGGACCTTCCGTTACCCCTAGCAACCCTATGTAATTTCCTGTCAAGGTCTCGCTGTCTGTCTGCATTTCATAATAAAAGCAGAGGTTAAACTTAACATCACAGACTGCTACTAAATTGGTCTCTATGAACAACTTTGAATCACCTTGGAGAGTCAATTATTTTTCAAAGCCCCAAAGGCTCTGAAAAAAAGGGTCCACTTTGGTCCATTCAGATGCAAGTTGGATTGCAGGATGTAAATCTACCGCCTCAGAAAGCACCAATGCTGAGCAGTGTGCAGTGACAGACGGGGCTCTGTGCTGGAGGTAAGTGAGGACGATTTTAAAACCACCTAAAACCTCTTAACAGCATTGCTTATTTCAAACTTTTTTAACATTATTTCTCTTTATTCCATCTTAAACGAAAAAAGCTTCACCAAAAGATAGTCGCTGGCTAGCTGCCGTGTCGCGATTTCATAGAAAAGTTCAGCTTCTTTCAACTTCAGCGATCACCACTCCTCTCTCTACATGCGTTGCTGCTGTTTGACAACACCTAATTTCTATCTAATAGCACTAGGTGAGGGAGGAGCAGTGAACGCTCTCACCACATGGAGTTCACCGCTGACCAATTCGCCGTGTGGTTTGTATAGAAATTCTATGTGAATCAACCACTAGAACCATTGTTACGACCTTCTGTGTAAACGCACCATTACACAATATTGAAGCATTAAAATTTGGGTTATCATAAACATTTACAAAAATAATTGAATATGCAGTTTGTCTCCAATTTACTCCAGCCATCCATTATTATCATTATTCATACTGCTTATTCACTGAGGGTCACAGTGGGCCCAGTGTCTATCTCAATTTATTTATAAACCAAAGGAATGAATTAATGAAGATAATGCAGCAATGAGGAACTGCGCAGAAGTTGTATTTAAAACAATAAGTATAGTTAAAAAAAAAAGTCCATTTGAAATTAACTTTAATTCAGATAAGCTGAGTGATAACTGAGAGGAAAAGGATGAAACAACCAGAAAGTATATATGGGAGATAGAACAAAGAATAGGCTAATCAGCTGATAGGGAGCAGGTGTGGATAGAAGCAACTAGAAGGGAGCTAGGGGATAGGAGACTGGCACAAGGGGACAACACTGATTAAATATAACTAGAAAACAGCTAGAATGACACAAAATGGAAATGAGCCAATTACCCAGAAAACACAGAGTGACATTAATCAAAGTGTAACTGAAAACTCAAAAAGAAACTTAAACAGAACCAAAAGGTCCAAAAAGAGCAACATCATGAAATGACAAAGGGACCAGATGAAGGGTGTAACTAGGTAGAAGTCTGTAGGGGAAAAAAGGTAAACCTGGGTTTCCTGTGGGTTTCTTGTTAAATCAATATAATTACAGCATACTAAATCCAGATAAAAGGCAGAAAAAGACAAACAAAGGACAAAAAAGACAAACATATGTCCTAATGAATCTCAATAATCCAGGTAAAAGAAAGCAACAAAAATAAGGCAATAGGCCATACAAGTAACAAGAAGAACCTTTTGTACATTTGTTATACACTGCCTGGCCAAAAGAAAAGTCGCCACCTGGATTCAACTAAGCAAATACGAACGAGCCTCCTATTGGATAATTACTGCATTGGCGATTATCTGTCAGCTGGCAACAAGTTATTTAACCCCAACTGGTGCAATGACTTGCTTCTCATTTCCTAAACAACCATGTCGAAAGACACATCCCGTGGTTGTGGAAAAGATGTTAGTCTGTTTGAGAAGAGTCAAATCATTGGCATGCATCAAACCGAGAAAACATCTAAAGAGATTGCAGAAACTAATAAAATTGGGTTAAGAACTGTCCAACGCATTATTAAAAACTGGAAAGATAGTGGGGACCCATCATCTTCAAGGAAGAAATGTGGCCGGAAAAAAATCCTAAATGTTCGTGATCAGCGATCACTTAAACGTGTGGTTAGATCAAATTGAAGAAAAACAACAGTAGAACTCAGGGCTATGTTTAATACTGAAAGTAAGAGCATTTCCACACGCACAATGCGAAGGGAACTCACTTCAATTTGCTAGGGAGCATAAAGATTGGACTGTGGAGCAATGGAAGAAGGTCATGTGGTCTGATGAGTCCAGATTTACCCTGTTCCAGAGTGAGAACAGGGTAAATCAGGGTAAGAAGAAAGGAGGGTGAAGTGATGCACCCACCATGCCTAGTGCCTACTGTACAAGCCTGTGGGGGTGGTGTTATGATCTGGGGGTTGCTGCAGGTCTAGGTTCAGCAACAATATGTGCTCAAAGAATGAGGTCAACTGACTAACTGAATATACTAAATGACCAGGTTATTCCATCAATGGACTTTTTCTTCCCTGATGGCACAGGCATATTCCAAGATGACAATGCCAGGATTCATCGGGATAAAATTGTGAAAGACTGGTTCAGGGAGCATGACACATAATTTTCACACATGGATTGGCCACCATAGAGTCCAGACCTCAACCCCATTGAGAATCTTTGGGATGTGCTAGAGAGGGCTTTGCGCAGCGACCAGACACTACCATCATCAATGCAAGATCTTGGTGAAAAATTAATCCAACCCTGGATGGAAACAAATCTTTTGACATTACAGAAGCTTATGGAAACAATGCTAATCAAAGCTAAAGGCGGTCCAACAAAGTATTAGAGTGAGTGACCTTTTTTTTTTTTTGGCCAGGCAGTGTATTTGAAAACATGATACTACAGTTACTGTCATTGGTTTCTGAACCTCTTTAAATTCTATAAATCTTAATTAGAATAAAAGAGTCAGAATTAGCACCATTATAAAAAAAGTGGGGTTTACCTCAATTGGTCCAATTTGAAAATCAATGTCAATCTGATGCTCTCTAATTTCTTTGAGGGTAGCCATAGCAATGCGAACATCGTCTAGGTCTTTGACCTTTCGATTCAGTTTCTTTCCTGCTTCATCAACGAAAGCAAAGATCTGCTCCATGTCTGAGCGATATTTCCTTTTACAAAACAGCCCATAGTCCACCATCCAGTTCTTAGTTTCAACTGTGAAGGATATCTTCAGCAATTCTTGAAAAAACAAGATGGACAAGTAGAGCTAAGTTAATGTTAAAGCTTAAGGACAGTTTGTTTTAGATTTGTATAAATAACAACTTTGATCTCACCTGTAAATAAAGCTAAGGCTTTAACAGTGATGTACTCTGGTTCAGAGTTTATTTTGAGTTCAAGATCACGATAAAAAAGGATCTGGCTCTCAAACTCTGATAGCAAAGGGCTCCCCTGGATAAATCTAATAAAAAGAAGAAACTCAAGGGTCAAAATATCAAAATAAATGGAATTTTAATCTTTCATCCAAAATTACCTTTGAATGGTGTCCTCACGATCCTTTCTCCAGATGTAATGGTAACAGCTGAAGCGGTTAAGAGCGTTTTCCACTTCCTAAAAGATAAACCAAACAGATATACTATGTGTTGGGATCTGGAGATTCTCCAGCAGAGTGCGCTGTGGATCCTCCTGGGCTGGAGCCCTCCAGCACAGCTGACGTTCATCAGCTCATCAGGAGACCGGCCTTTATAAGCAGCTGCCAGACCTTCCTTCTACGCCGCAGTGTTAGCCAAGTTTGGTTAGCGAACCTGAACCTTTGAATTACTAATCCTTGTCTTCTTAGAGAAACCTTATTCTAATCTGCCTCTGTCTTCTCGCTCCTAGGAAACCAGTCTCTCGAGAGAAGCTCTGGATGAGCTTAACCTGAAACCTGCCTGCCTGCCCTAGAGAGCCAAACCTGAAGTTCCCACTCTGGAATCCACCTGCTGCTCTTTGGGAAAGAGCTAATCACTCCAACCAAGGTCTTTCATTGGAAGTCAGAAGCTAGACGCTGCTGCTGCTTAAGCACTCTGCTGAACCAACAGTCTCTGGACCCAACCGGTTCCCTCTCTCTGAACTAAGCCTGGACCTCTTCAAGGTATCCACTGAAAAATCTGAAAACTCATTTAACTCATCTGCAAACCAAGCTAACCTACTATCCATCTCTGCAGACGCCTGAGAATCCTGCCCGGACCAGAACCTGAATCTAGTTCATGTCATTTTGTGAAACCTTTAATAAACTCTGTTAATGTTGGGATCCTCAGGCTTGCCCACCAGAGGGCGCCGAGGATCCTCTTCTGCTCTCTTTCTGTCTCTTTCTCTTAGGGCTGGAGTCACTGTCAGGTTCTGGCGATTACCCTCTGCCTCCAGCAGAGTGCGCCGTGGGTCCTCCTGAGCTGAGCCTCCCACACACCTGTGGCTGATCTACTCATCAGGAGGACCACAGTATTCAAGCTGCCTTCAGACCTAGATTCCACGCCGCAGTGCTGATCTTAGTTGGAATCCTGTCTCTTCGTGAAAGCTCTGGATTGAGCTGTCTCTCTGGCAACCTGTCTCTGGCCTGCAGCTCTGGGAGAGTTGCATCTCAGGAAACCAGTCACAAGTCTGAAGCTCAAGGAGAGCTTAACCTGCTAAACTGCCCTGGTGAGCCGACCCGAAGATTCCTACGTGGTTGTAACCTGACGACTTCTATGTGGAGTTTCCCTAGAGGTTCCCATGTGGATTTTCCCCTGATGTTCCCTGCTGAGAGCTGGATGCTCAGATCATGGACTGCCATGCTAAGCAAGAAGCTAGATGCTTAACCTTTCTTGAACTCTGTTAACAAACCTTCTCCCGTTCCCTGAACATTCTCCAGTGAACCTGCTCCCCCAGGCCTGAACCAGAACCTGAATTATTTCCATGTGCTTGTGACAATAAACATTGTTAACCTTTCAACCAGTTTCCTTCTCCGTGGTGTTCTGCATACTTGGGTCACTTTAGAGAACCCATCATGACAGTTAAATCTTTAACCAAATCTCCAGTGGTGTTCTGCATGTGGGTTTTATCTCTAAACCGATCATGACACTATGGATATTGAACATGTAGTTATTGTGGAATAAACAGACAGCAAAGGTTTCTGTAAGTTCTTCTTATGCAGAGCATTTTAATTACAATATGAATACAATCATTCAAAGTATGCAGTCATCCATCTATCTTCTCTACCTGGGGAGAGATATGACCCATGTTTAATTGATTTCCAAATACCAAAAATGACCACAAAAAAAACCCATGCCTCCTCAGGATAAAATTTATAAACGCTTCAAGATATGAAGTGTTAACATTTTTCAAAGATCCTGTGTATCTCAACCAAACAAAAAGTAATTCAACTAAACTCAAAAATACTTTGATAATATAAAAGGGAAATATAATATAAAATAGTATAATATTATATATAAACATATCGATAATTCATATATATTTATAAGTGGTTGGCTGTTATCGGCATTAAAGCAGCGTGTTAAATAATACTACTTTATATTATATCTATATAATATCCAAACATAGTATGTTTTTATACAATATAATAAACAATAACCTAAAAACATAAACAATATCCATGCTTTCAAGCCTTTATTTTTGTGAATTATTATCCACTTTCATCTAATAAAAAGAAAATAAATTGGGATGGAATCAGAAAATTCCATCCCAATTTAAAAGCCATTGAAAAAATATCTACTTAAAGCTGGTAATTTTAAAAAATGGTCATTTAATGTGTCAATCCAGCCTCATGGCAAAACATATATTTATATTTGATAAATATAATTGCCTTGCTGAAATTTTGATTTGCTATTAGGATAATAAATGATAATAACCATTTACCTTCTTGGTAGATTTGATGGAGGTACTGAGAACAGATTTTAGCTTGACTATCTCGTCATTCGCAGATATAGTCTTGTAGTAATTTCTTTCTTGGATAGGAATGGCTTGACTCACAAACAGTGACATTTCTGAGCTGGTACCATCTGAAAAATATAGAATTGAAGACAATGTTTTCAAGAAACTTTCATAGATCTATGTCACATATGTAAGCATTTTAGAATACACATTATATAACAATTCCACTGAGTCTGGTGTATTTGACATGCAGATATTCGTTTTAACAACCCATCCTATCTAAATAGATCGGAGTTGATAAAAAAAAAAAAGACAGAAAGAGAACAAATTAGTAGAATAGTAATTTGGTGAAGGTCGTTCAGGCGTTTAGCAGCATTATCATTCATACCTGTCATACTTCTGTGTGTTGGTGTTGTTGCTCCATTGTCTGATTCACTCTCTGAGCCGTCTTGTTTAAGGGCCGCCATTCGGTTCTCTTTTATTTCTCTCTATAAAGTGCATATAAAAGGCAAGCTTTCAGAACTTGTTTGGTTGAATATGATGAAATCAGAAAACTTACACGTCCAAACAATCACATTAATGTAACTTTAGAGTAAGCATACCTTAGTAATCCTTTCTTTGCTCCATTCACCTACTCCTTTGCTTACACTGACCACACATGCAACAACCTTGTCTAAAGCCCTCTGGACCTCCTCCAGAGTTGGCATCATGACAATGTTAGGTATAGACAGGTTCAGATCGGCTTTAAAGATAGCCTGCTGATAACTGTGCTTCCCATGGCTGGGTCCCTCACTCTCACCTACCAGAGAGAGAATAGAAAAACATCACATTAACAACAAAACCCTATATGCATTCAGAAGAAAATAGATATAGGAACCTAACTGAAATAAGTTGTGTTTTCTATTCAACAGATAATAAGTGTACAGTAAAGTTGCTGAGTCTTGTCATTCTGAGCTTTCAGTTTCCATCTGTCATGGCACATGTTGGATTTGGAAAACTTAGCCAACTTTTGGAAATCACCACAAATAAGGTAAATGTCTACATTCTATTAGGAATACACACCAGCAGTTTTAGTGATAATAACAGCAAAAACTGGTATTTCTAAACCTTGTATTTTTGTCCTTTTCCTCCTTAATTAAGAGATGGTTCTTTTGAGTAAACCCACCCAAGAAATGCATAACTGAAGGTGTATTTATGCGCTTGTGTAGCATCTCCAGAGTTTTGCGTATAGCATTGAGCAAAGCGTCAACATTGCGTTGGTTGAAGTAGGAAAGCAGTTCCTGGGCATCCTCTTCCATTTCTTCCATTGAATCTTTTTTCTTTCTCTCTCTCACTAAAGGAGAGGAAGGACCTGATACAGCAGGGGGTACAAATGTGTTCCTGGAGCTTAGATGTCTTTCAGAGCTGTATCCCTCATCACCTGAAGAAACATATTTGCAATCACAATTTGAGAAATTAGATAGAAGAGTAGATAGATTAGAACAGTACTCTGATCCACTTATCTTTAAGAGAGTCAGCTTGGGTATTTTATATCAGTTTGCGTATGATCTGGAATGAAAGTATACCTTCAAGTATAAAGGGTTGTTTGGTCTTGCTCTCACTACAGCTGTCTTCTGCATCTTTCCCCTTGTCTTGCTGATCATGGTCAAACTCGGTCAGCATGTTGATCAGTTCATTTGTAGCCTCCTCCACCAGTGTGCTCTTTAGGTGTAGATTCTGAGCTTGTTTTATGCACAAGTCCTTGGCACAAAGTAAATTAATTGAAATAAAATGAGTGTCTGACAGTAGTTAGGGGGTGCCAAAAACACTTTCTTTAGAAATCTGTGTGTATCCTTTCAAGTTTAACACAGGCCAGGTACAAGACTAATAAGGTGGGTTCAGTTTGGCTAAATTAACATAACACAACAATGCCATTATCTTATATGAAGGAAATGTTATTCATTTATATTTACCCTGGTGGCTTTAAAAAATTCCTCACAGCTGAGCGGTTGTTCCTCTGGCAGAACACACAGTGTGGTTAAACTCATCTCCTGCAGTACAGCATCTATTCTAAACTCCACCAAATCGTTCACTCTGTCTATTAATAGCTCCAAATCTCCTGGAGACAAAGAACAACAAAAGTGTGAATAGAACAAAAAGGGACCAAGAGAAAAAAGACAGAGCTTAATGAATAATTTAAAAAGTTAAACACAGACAGAAGGAGAATATGTGAGATATATGTGAATTTTGCTTGTGTGTACACAATGAATGAACTAATCAAAATCTGACCATATGCTGCCAGCAGGAAATATTATGTCAGCAAATGAGGTAGGTTATTATTATTTTTTGGTTTTTTGCTTACCCAATGCTTTATCAATGCAGCTTAATAACTTGTCTATACTCAAAGATATCCAGGTCAGGGAAGTCAAACCAGGCTGGATAGCCTTGTTTACCTATGCAGTACAAGGCAAATGGTATTAATGAAAGAAAACTGTAAAAGTATTTTTCTCATGTATAAGTCACCATAATACACTTTTCCAGTAAATTACTGTATGTTTATAGTATATAACATTTTTAAATGATCCAAATATATTTTTTTTCTATCCAAAAATTCATTAATAAAAAAAAACAAATGCAGTATTTTGGCTAATACATAGAACCAGGTGTTGAAATGTGTAACAAAAAGCTGATTTTAGTCATTATTTAAACCCAATATTTTATGAGGCTAAAGACTGAGAGAAGTGAGACGTAATCTGTGTTGTGTGTAAAAGCCTAACTGGGGACAGGCATTGAGAATTAGCCTTAGCTAAAAAGTTGTAGTGTGTGACATGATTCATGAAACATACTTGTCCCTATCAAATAAACAAATAAAAGAAAAAAATAAATGAATAAATCTATAAACACAGACAAAAACAGTCTAAGGTGTAAGCTTTCTGCTTTGTTTATAATTATAAAAGCAGCCTCCATGTATTATATTAGATAATAATGAAGAAATGGCCAGCAATTAGCTTTTTGTCTGTTATTCTGAAAGGTTTTGTTTTATTTTTTGTGAAACTAAAGTCAATCCATCCATCCATCCATCCATCCATCCATCCATCCATCCATCCATCCATCCATCCATCCATCCA